TTTGTCTTTTTGAGACAGGGTCTCACTATGCAGTTCAGGCTGGCCTTGAGCTCACTTTGTAACCCAGGCTGGTCTCGAACTCGCAGCGATCCTCCTGCCTCAGGCTCCTGAGTGCTGGGATTACAGGCATGTCCCACCACGCCCGGCCAAAAGCCAAGTCTTAATCCTGTATCAGGTCAGTGTTACTGGATCACTTCATTGCTTCCTGTCACGACTGCAGGTGTAGAAAACCAAGCCTCTCCTGGGGAAGGTCCAGAACGGAGGTGTGCAATTGGGATCATCCTAAATTCTGAACTCTGACTCAGAGCCTGGCTAGTCCCTGACCAGTCTCTGAGCGTGTGGGTTCTGAGACGAACCCTTCCACACCCATACCTCTTCTCGAATCCTGGGGAGCTTTTACCAGGGAAGCTCCGGTTGAATGGGGTGGATTGGGTTTGGCATGCCTAGATACACAGCTCATTTTTCCATAGCCTGGCTTATATACACCAGTTTACTCCACACATCTGTAGGAGAGTGCAATTGGGCCTGAATGTACTACAATGAGATAGAGACTTCACACACAGCTTCAGGAAACCCACAGAGCAGCTGGGATACGCAACAACACAACCTCAGCTCAGCAGGAAGGAGGAGGTTAGGACACCGGTTCTTTGGCACACAGCTTCCCTAAGAGGAGCAAGTAGTATTTTTTAAAAAAAAAATGTAAGGAAACAGGCCGGGTGTGGTGGGGCACGCCTGTAATCCCAGGACTCGGGGTTGGGGGTGGGGCTGAGGCAGGAGAATGGTTGCAAGTTCAAGGCCAACCTGGGCTACAAGGTGACTTCAAGGCCAGCCTGAATTGCATAGTGAGACCCTGTCTTAAAAGGACAAAATACATACACACATACATACATATATAAAATATAAGGAAAGAAAAAATATAAGGAAAAAAATCAAGTTTTCAAATTCCATCAGTACTGTAATCAGCTACAATTTTTGTTGTTGTTGTTGTTGTTTTTTTGTACCAGAAATCGAACTCAGGACCTTATGCTTGCAAGGCAGGCACTGTGCCACTGAGCTATCTCCCTGGCCCTGCAATTGTTGATTCATATATTCCTCAAATAAAAGATGTAAGGGAGGATACTTGGGCCTTCAGGATACTTGGGCCTTCAGAGAGAGGGAGACAGGCACTCTACCACTAAGCTCTATTCCCAGCCTTAACAGTGGAAAAGTTCTAATAAAAATTTCTGTATTTATTGTATGTGAGTGTATACGTGGTACTGAGGATTGAAACCACGGGTGCTCTACCACTGAGCTACACTCCCAGTTCTTTTTATTTTAAAAAAGTGCCACCACACTCAGCCTCTATATCCCAAATTTTAATAAACTGCCATTTCCCCCCGCCCTGGGTTACCAGTATCTCACCCTCATCTATCATTTACAATGGCACTGTAATACAAATGCTGCACATTGACACCAAACTTTGTCTCTGAATTGTGACCTCTTTTCCTATTAGTGAAGGAGCTGAAATACCAATTACTCAGAAGGCTGAGGCAGGAGAATCGCTACACCTGTCTAAGCAATTTAACAAGACTCTTTCTTTAAAAATAAGAAACAAAATAAAAAGAGCTCGGCATGTAGCTCAGTGACAGAGCGTTTGTAGCTCCAGGCCCTGGGTTCAAGCCTCAGTAATGCGGGGGAGGATGAAAATCTGCAAAGACTCTCATCTCCTTACCCAGGAGCATCAAGGCAGAGCACTTTGGGACCGGCGCGGAGCGGCGAGGAGACGCTGTCGGGGTACTGCAGGCCAGGTGGGGGCGCCCACTGTGCGTGTGCCGCGCCGCCTCTCTAGGATGGGGGAAGGTGACTGTGCCCTGTGGGACACGGCGATTGGCTGGGAGCGGAGGGGCTGGCAGGAAAACTTAGTGGCGCGCTGAAGCCTGAGTGGTTCCCCGGAGCCTCCTGCCCGCCGGCGCGAGCGGCACCGTGGTGGCAGGCGCACCGGTCTTTGATTGGCTGGCGCGTGTCACCGGGCACCTCCGATTGGTCGGTCCGCGGGGCGCGGCGCTGGGCCACCGGGCGGGGAACGAGAGGTGCAGGCGGCGGTGCGGGCAAGCTGGCTGTCCGACTGCCCCGGTCCCGCTCGCACCCGCGGCTC